ATTCTATGGATTTGGACAAATGTATAATGACATATATCCACCGTTATAATACCATACAGAGTAATTTCACTGTCCTAAAAATCCTCTGCGTTCCTCCTATTCATCCCTCTCTCCCTCCTAACCATGGCAGCCACTGAACTTTTTACTGTCTCCATAGTTTTGCCTTTTTGCAGAATGTCATAGAGTTGGAATCATGCAGTTATATTCCATAGTAATGTTCATTTGAGTTCCCCCTGAAAGGACGACAGGACCTAAGCTGACAGTTCACCGGAGAAGTTCCGCTTTATTCGGGGAGAAGCATACATTTATATAGAGCCAGGTTCTGGGAGAGGGTGGTTAGTACACGGGGCGGTAGCTGATTGGCCGGGGGTGGGTAATGATTTCTAATAGGCCACACCTTGGCACCAGCGAGATTGTTAGGACCCAGAAGAGAAAAGCGCCATGTTTTAGGGAGTGCCTCCTTTGGGGTCTTCTGTGGGGCCTTACATTCCTCCCTTTTTCCTCTATTGGGGATAAGGTCGCTGAGGTCTCCGAACTACTTCCTGCTGGAGGGGGGCGTTGTGGGGGGGAGGAACAGGGAGGACAAGGAAGCCCCTTATTATACCCCAAAGGAGAATGGTAAATAAGGTGATTTCAAGGGGGGAGAAATCCATGAAGGTCTCTTGGAGCCATAAGTCAGCCATCTGCTGTGTCCAGTGGGTGTAAGAGGTCACGGGGGAGATCATCCAGGCATCTGCAGCCATGGCAGTCAGGAACAAGTGCCATCGGTGACGTAGATCCATTTTAGCAGTGTGTCAGGCATTCTGCTGAGGAGTAAGAAGGGTCTTCCGTGGCCAGCAGCTGGTAATTTCTAAGTAAAAGCTGGTTAAATGTTTGGTTAGAGATTTTACCTATTTGAGTTTGAGCAAATTTAATAATGCATGGTAGAAAGAGGCAAGGTATTACAATGATAGTTAAGTGTCCCACAATAGGCCATATCCAGGTTAGGAGAGGATTGTGAAAAAAGGAAGAAAAGGTTTTGGAGTTGGATGTGGCTCAGAGACTAGAGGCCAGATCGGTGAGCTTAATGATGTTGGTTTCAACTAAGCCTGATTCATTGATGTAATAACATTCTTCCCTGAGGAAGATGCATGTGCCTCCCTTCTCTGTGGTAAGAAGGTCTAAAGCTCAGCGGTTTTGGAGAGTTACCTTGGCTAGGGAGGTGACCTGTTTTTGTAGGGATGAAAGGGACTCAGCGGTGGAGGTCAAGGCTTGTTCAAGTTTAGTATTGATATCTTTAACTGCCCATAAAGTATGCCCTAGGGCCCCTCCCGATAATCCAAATAATAAAGTAGAAAGAGGTTTAGGGAGAGCATTCAGGAAAGGATTCATCCTCATGTATGGGTGAGAGGACTGGAGATCAGGATAAGCGTAGTTTAAGGGGCAGCTGTGGGAGTGCAAAGAATGACTGGGCAAGGGCCTTTTTACTTAGGAGTTAAAGGACTTTGTGGCTCTGGGGAAGTGTAGAATGCTAAATCCCCAGGGTGTACTGTGGAGGTGTTTTGGGAGGAGGTAGGATTAGGCAATAGCCAATCCTGGTGTTTCCAGAGTTCAGCTCGAAGATGGGAAAGTAGCAGGATAGCTAGGTTGGAGGGTATGGTTCCTTGTTTAGGGATGATTCCTGGAGGTAAAGGGGACCTCCCATACCTAATTTCAACAGGGGAGAGGTTTGAAGGTTTCTTTGGGAGGACCCTGAGTCTGAACAAGGCTAGGGGTAAAAGGCGGGTCCAGTCAAGGTGAAGTTCCAGAGATAGTTTAGTAAGGATAGTTTAGAGCCCTGTTGGCGCGTTCAACTTTTCCTGAGGCCTGGGGCCGGTAAGGACAGTGTAGATGCCAAGGGAGGGAGAGAGCTCGAGATAAATTTTGTGTTATTTGGGCAGTGAATTCCAGGCCGTTGTCTGTTTGTATGGATGAGGGCATTCCGAATCTTGGGATAATCTGGGAGAGGAGTATGGAAGCCACAGTGGTGGCCCTCTTGTTAGTGGTGGGGAAGGCCTCTATCCACCCGGAGAAAGTATCTACCATTACTAGGAGGTATTGTTGACGTTTAACAGGAGGCATGTGGGTGAAATCGATCTGCCAGTCAGCTGCAGGAATATTACCCCTAGCTTGATGTTGAGGGATATGGTTTGGCCTTTAAGGAGGTGTTGGGGTTGGTGCGTTGGCAGATGGAGCAATTGCGAGAGATTTCTTGTAGAAGAGTTTTATCGGCTGGGGTTAGAGGAAAGAAAGTTTGGAGGAAGAGCATTAAACTTCGGGGATTTGAATGGAATAGATCATGGCTAAGAAAGTGGAGAGTAAGCCTAAGAGCCTGGAGGGGGGAAGGGAGTGTAAGGCTTTGTAAGAAAGGAGGTCTTTTAGATGGTGGGGCAAAAGTATGGTTAAGGGCGCACAAAATGTTAATTTATAGGCCTCTTTTTGTAGTAGATGTCCAGCAGCCATGGCACAAAGGCAGGGAGCCCAGCCCCCGACAGTAGGATCTAGTTGTTTGGACAAGTATGCTACTGGGGCGAAGGAGGGGCCATATGTTTGTCCTAACACACCCAGGGCTTGTCCATCCCTTTCATGTACGTAAAGGGAGAAGGGTTTAGTGAGGTCAGGCAGGTGGAAAGCAGGGGCCACGACTAGAGCCTGGCGGAGTTTTTGGAATGGTTTATCTGGTGAGGATGATAGGGGTTCATTTTGGTCCCCTTTTGCTATTGTATACAGTGGGCGGGCCAGCAAAGAGAAATTTGGGATCCATGCTCTAAAATATCCCGCTAGGCCCAAGAAGGATAGAATCTCTGCCTTAGATTTTGGAGTGGGTAGAGACTCTAAAAGCTGTATCCTGTTGAGGGTGATGGCCTTTTGAGAAGGAGATAATTCAAATCCTAGATAAGTAACTTCAGTGAGGGATATTTAGGCTTCAGAGGGTGAAATGCGATATCCTTTGTCTGCCAGGAAATTGAGAAGGGAAGCAGTGTCAGCCTGCTAGCGTTCCCAAGAGGGACTACAGAGTAAAAGGTCATCTGCATACTGTAGGAGAGTTGACTGTGGGTGGGAAGAGTGAAAACATTTGGTTTCTTTACTGCCAGTATGGTAGTATTGAAAGGTGAGTGAGCGTGGTGAAGGTATCCCTTCCCGAGAAGGTCCTTGATAATGGGTTGGAGTCCGTGAAGTGCTGTGGTGCTGAGAGGGTACTGAGACTGATTTATATATTTAGAGGGATTTTTCAGCCGTATAGTTACGGGAGTACAATGGGCAGAGGAAGGGTTGGTGGTATCCCAAATGATGTTATTGACGGGATGAGTTAAGGAGGGATAAAGTGTGTTTTTGTCATCCTCGGAGATGAGGGCTAAAAGAAATGGGGCTGGGGAGGACGAGATGGGGGATATTGAAATGGAGACATGTAGTTGGGTGAGAATATCTTTTCCTAGCAAAGGGACGGGACATTGGGGCATGACTAAGAAAGAGTGAGAGAAAGAGGAAGGGACACCCTTGATATGGCAAGTTAATGGAGGTGTTCTGTGGGGAAAAATTTGTTTTCCTCCTACCCCGACTATAGGAGAGCTACAATAATAGTTACCCTGGGTTCACTTTTTGTGATGTTAATGGTCGGGAAGGACCCAGGGCCCCTTCAGTCCTCCTCAGCCAGTCCCACCAAAGGTGTTTGAGATGCCCGGGACGGTTGACCAATCTCCCCTTCGGGTGAGTGGGCAATCAGAGCCCCAATGTCCCCGTTTTTGACACTTAGGGCATGGCATGGTGGGCAGTCTGGGCGAGGGGCAGGTCTGTGACCAATGACCTTCTTTTCCACATTTGAAGCATGCCCCAGGGGGAGTTTTAGAGGCAGAGGGCCCAGAAGAGCGTCCAGGAGACGGTCTGATGATCTGGGCCAACATCTGAAAATTGGCCAGGTCAGCCTTTTGTTTTCGTCATTCTTTTTCCTCCTCCCTATTGTGGAAAACCTTAAAGGCCACTGATAAGATCTCGGTCTGTGGAGTAGCGGGGCCCTGTTCCAGTTTTTTTAGTTTAGTTTTAATGTCGGGGTAGGCTTGAGCCAAAAAGTATGTCCTAAGGACATGGCATCCCTCCTCTGAGGAGGGATCCAGGTTGGTGTATTGCTGGAGAGCCTGAGTTAGTCGATTGAGGAACTCGGATGGAGTTTCCTCCTTTTTTTGGAGAATTTCTTGGACCTTTTGGAAATTAACAACTTTGCGGGCAGCCTTTTTAAGACCTGCCATTAGGCAGGAGGCAAATTGCCTGTTCGGGAACTGCATGTGGGCCAGTGGGGAAAGCGGGGTTAGTGCGATGGGTTTCATCCACATGAGCTTGGGCCGCGTCCCAGACGCGGCGGCGCTCTTCAGGAAGAAGGGTGTTAGCCACTAGCATGT